TAGTATTTAATTAAAAGGAAAAAAATACGGGGTAAGTACTTACCAGGGAAAAAAAACAGAACAGAAAAACATGAAGATGAAAGAAATAGAATAAAAATGATTCCTGTGGGAAAAAGACTTTAGACGTGCGATGACGTCATCAGAGCGCGCATTGTTTATGTTCGCTCAGGCCACAGGTTCTGGCTCAGGTACATGTCTTCCATCTCCTCCAGACAGCCAATACGTAATTTGGAGTTTCGATACAATGTTCCATCAATGATAAGTTTATCCACCGTAAGCCGTACTCTTTTAATTGTTTTTTTTTGCTTCCGCCATGACCGGGTAAAGCAATCTTCTCCTCTTCATGATCTCCTGGATGGACATCCATTAACACAGCCATTCCCAAACTCAGTAACACCGAGGCCCCCTTAAAAATCTGACGGGTCTGCGTGGGCCCCCAAAATAATAACCAAGAAGACAACATTAAGAATAGGCTCTTCTGGTTATTTTTATTTTGGGGAAATAGCCTCTGCTACAAACATTGTAATACAAAAATGATTACAGTGGATTATTCAAGTCAAATAATGAACACAAATATTTTAATATTACAAACAAAACATTATAAATTTAACATTAAATAATTATATATATATATATATACCTCCCGCGGCCCCCCTGCAGTACCCTCGCGGCCCACCAGGGGGCCGCGGACCCCACTTTGGGAGACACTGCATTAACAATAAAACATTACAGACTAAGCACATTATCCTCTTCTATCATGACAACAGTCAGCTTAAAGACAATGCATTGAATATTCATTAAAATGATAATATAATTTATATAATTCTACTGCCAAATTAATATAGATCAGTTCAAAAATTTGAAAAAGCGCCTTGATGAGCTTGTTAAAAAATAGTCATAAATTGTAGGTTTAATTGTTTAAAGTGAGAACGTTCCTTGCCTTAGGAGCTTTTCTGTCTCTGTTTAGATCTCTGTCTGAGCCTCATTTGAATTATTGTAATACTATTAACTCATTCACAAACTGCTGCCTAAAGGGAAATACAGAACATTAAAATGCACAGGTTTTAGTATTTGTCACCAAGGCCCGAATATATGGAACGAGATGGATTGTGACCTAAAGCAATGTGCCACATTATCCAACTTTAAGAGGAAACTGAAGACTCTGGGGAAATATGTGACTGGATGAAAGCGTCGAAGCACTAAGGGTTTTGAACTACAACTACAAACATTTGCAAATACGTATTAGGAATACATTAAATAATATACTTATTATCATTATTATTATTATTATTGGCAGCGGAGACGAGCATTCAGCGGCCCCGCCTGCCTAAGCGTCTTGTGCGTCCTTGAAATGTGATGAACATCTATAATTTATTATTAGTCTTAATTATCATTATCATTAATTGTTTTATTATTATTATTATTATTATTATTATTACAGTAACTGGGTGAATTTTTGAATTTATTTTTTATGTTTATTTTTTCCCCACTGAATTTGGCCGGTAGATTGTATGTGGTGGCGGTGGTGGTGTGATGGACCCATGGATCTATTCTAATAACGGGTGGACCCCTGATATATAGGCTTGTGTTTCAGGGAAGTTCATTTTCTCAATGTAGCACATGAACCTTTAGGGACTGTGTGAAATTGTGAATAAACATAAACAAACATAAACATGATGTATAACGTACCATCGACGCGGCAAGTTAATAGTAATACATAGTAAATAGTAAGGAATAACTCACTCTAGCAGCCACTAAAATGGTCTTGCGAGTCGGATTTGGCCCACGAGCCTGAGTTTGACATGACTGTGTTAAACTATTACTGTAGCTACAGCTGTCCCGGGGCAGACAAACAGAAGTGAGGCTACTAATCTGTGCCACATGGGCCCCTCCGACCACCATCAACCCTTCAGACACACCAGACTCACACTAGACCATGTAGGGGAAGTGTGTCTGGGGAACACACACACCTCTGGATAGACGTTTATGTTTATATATCTTGCACACACACAAACACTTGATAAATAAACCCCTTAATGTGTAAATAAAAAAGCCACTGATTATATTTGGATGTTTTACAAAATATGTTTAATCACTTAACTCTACATTTCTACACAAAAGTATGACATTGGCTCGAAACAGAACACACAGGAGGCCACTAGCTGACAACGATAGTTCTTATAATCTACATACAATTGATGACTTTTAGTGTGTTGTAAAAAGAAATTCTACACTGTACATTGTAATAATTTAGTGTCATATTTTACAGACGCATTTACATTTGTGCTTTCTAAAAACAAGTTCTAAACAAATAAATAAACAACACTTAGTACATTTTTGTTGTTGCTTCACATGAAAGTAAATACAGTGTGTGCGACCGGTGAGCTGGTCCCACCGCGACACTGAGCTGTACATAGATGGACAACGCTAACCCCCGATAGAGAAGTGCTCATGGACAAAGTTTTGCTCCAACACGCTCTGGCTTCGATTGATTTAACATTGAAGAGTAAACGCCTCGCGCTCATAAAACGTTTGTAAAGAAAATTGTGATGGAGATAATATAAACAACTAAGGGGCTGGTTTCATGCACCTGGATATTTTTGATTTGATTTGTTAATGCCATCTGTCTAGTTTGGTGTTAAAAAATGTGGCCAGTTTGATGATTTTGTGGTTTTCCTTGGTCGACATAGTTAACTGATCAAATATTACAGCCCCGGATTAAAAAAATAATAAAACACATGCAGTGGTCCTTTGCTATATTGCAGTTCTCCTTCCGTAGCCTTGCTGTTTTATGGATTTTTGTGTGTGCAGTTTTGCTAGCTTCTCATGTATACTCCAGCAACATCATGTACAACAGGGGTCTCCCACTTATTTTCACTCAGAGAGCTACTTTCCCAGGACGATGAAGCCAGAGAGCTACTCCTTTAAGCAGCCCAGGGGTAAAAAATGATTATATGTTGGTGTGAACAAGTCTGACATTTGGCACAGTCATTATTTATCATTGCATAATAATACATAATGATAATGAGTAATACAATTTGAGATAGTAAGTATATTATTTGATTTTATTTGTTTCTAAATCCTTTGGTGAGATACCTGGAGGCGGCTCCCGAGCTACAGATTGGAGACCCCTGATATACAACATCATATACCCGCTAGTATGACATGACAATAATCTTTATTTAGAGTCAGAAGAAAACTTTTGTGGCTTGTGTCGCTCAGCGCGGCGTCCTCTGCAGCCGTATTTAACAGCTTATGCACGGCTTTTGACAGCTACAGCAGCACTCAGACCTATTGCTTCATCCGTCGTGAGTTCATCGGGTTAGAAAAGTGTCTAAAGTGTCTGGTGACGGATTTTACAGGCTTAACACACATATAACTTCGAAATAACGGATTTAGCCGGTTGCAGGATTTTTTTTTCCGAACGTAACCATGGCGATAAACGAGGGACCACTGTATAGACACGACAATTGCGTTTAGATTTTACTCACAAAACTACGCAACTGGCTTAATCCTGTGCAGACACTTCCTCCATGTAACTCACAGTTTGTTCATGTCTATGTTTTCTTATGGGATTTTTATTAGTGATATAATATAGTCATAACGTGTGTCGCTTTTGAATATGGCGGCCTAATTTCCATTTCTTCTTTGTGCTATTTATGCTCGATCCAGCCTCTTCTTAATCTTTGTCCATTTTCTCCATAATTACTTCTGTCAGTGGCAGGAGTTGGGCACATGTACTTACAGCTCCAGCAGATGGTCATTTCATCTGCAAAACATTATTTATGAGCAAACCCGTTCATCGGACAATTCTTAATCGCTCCGTATCTCGTAATAATAATAAGCAAACACCCAAAATTAAACAGGCAGGAAATTGTATGCAGCGAGTGGAGTTTTACGAGCGATTTCCTTCGTGATGCAGAGCGGCTTGAGGAGAATAAACGAGGAGATAAGGAAGAGCCAGCTGCTGTAGGAACACTGGTGCGACAGGGAAAACAGCCGTCCGTTAGAAATGTACCTTTAGAAAATCACTGGAGGAGGAGAAATGGTCACTACTGCACTGCAAATAATAACACACTAAAATTAGGTGATAGCTGCTTGAAATGAGTGGTTTTTGTCCTAATTTGAGTGCGTTCTGACTGTCCTAAAATAAGATTGGACAATGGACAAGCTATTTAGCATTATTTCAAAAACCGTTGCTGTATTTTCTCATTCCAAGTGAGGCATTTCTTGTATATTTAAAAAAAAAAAAAAACAGATAATTTTGCTTAGTCCCATTGGCAAATCTTGTTTTAAGGCAGTCAAAATGCTCTGAAATTAAGGTTTTCATCACTTTCTGCAGTGTGTATAGAAGTTGATTGAATGTGGTGAAATATCCGTTGTTGTCGTCGTTGGGTGGTCTTTGATTTTCTGTGGGAAAAAGAAAAGATGTTTTAGCGTTTGGTTCCGCAGGGTGACTGGGCACGATCGAAGAGGTGGGGACAAGCTTGGAGTAGATCATGAATAATAATAATGAATCGTCTATTTATCAAGCACTTATTTGGACACTCAAAGACGCTCTGCACAATGTGCGAGAAATGTACGTGTCGTTGTGAGATCGGTGGAGTTTCTTATCTTGTGTTATCTTTTCAAACATGTCATTATTCGTTCACTTTCACGGTGGTTAGAATAGTCCATGGTTATAATAGGCGCTATAATGGTCCAGCAAATACTGTTCCAGTGTGCGTACATTATCGATCCAGGTGATTAACGACACATGCAAAGTGTAGCATGGGTATTTTTAATGGTTATGTTTTTGGTTTAGGGATGTTGTTTGTCCTCTCTTGTGAACAACACCTGAGAGACTTCAGTACGTAAATAATCCTGATTCATATAAAGGCCTCTCACTGCTCCACTTGAGGAAGGACCTCTATTGGACTTGGACACAATAGAACTTAACCTCCTTTATCTTTGGTTTAATAATAATAATAATAATAAAAGTATTCACCTGTTTTCTGACATCACAGGTCGTCCTCTGGGTCTAAAGAATGTGGAGATATCTGAAAACACACACACAAATAAGTTTATAGAAGATACAGTGATCAGTTCATGTGCAATTTTTCAAAACATTGAGCAAAATGACATTATTTATATTATTGATTATTCCTAAATTACAAGAACCAAAACAATACAGACACAAGAGAAAAACATATCAGTTACAGTGCCTTGCGAAAGTATTCGGCCCCCTTGAACCTTTCAACATTTCGCCACATTTCAGGCTTCAAACATAAAGATATACAAATTAAATTTTTTTGTCAAGAATCAACAACAAGTGGGACACAATCGTGAAGTGGAACAAAATTTATTGGATTATTTAAACTTTTTTAACAAATAAAAAACTGAAAAGTGGGGCGTGCAATATTATTCGGCCCCCTTGCGCTAATACTTTGTAGCGCCACCTTTTGCTGTAATTACAGCTGCAAGTCGCTTGGGTATGTCTCTATCAGTTTTCCACATCGAGAGACTGGAATTCTTGCCCATTCTTCCTTGCAAAACAGCTCGAGCTCAGTGAGGTTGGATGGAGAGCGTTTATGAACAGCGTCTTCAGCTCTTTCCACAGATTCTCGATTGGATTCAGGTCTGGACTTTGACTTGGCCATTCTAACACCTGGATACGTCTATTTGTGAACCATTCCATTGTAGATTTGGCTTTATGTTTTGGATCATTGTCCTGTTGGAAGATAAATCTCCGTCCCAGTCTCAGGTCTTTTGCAGACTCCAACAGGTTTTCTTCCAGAATGGTCCTGTATTTGGCTCCATCCATCTTCCCATCAATTTTAGCCATCTTCCCTGTCCCTGCTGAAGAAAAGCAAGCCCAAACCATGATGCTGCCACCACCATGTTTGACAGTGGGGATGGTGTGTTCAGGGTGATGAGCTGTGTTGCTTTTACGCCAAACATATCGTTTTGCATTGTGGCCAAAAAGTTTGATTTTGGTTTCATCTGACCAGAGCACCTTCTTCCACATGTTTGGTGTGTCTCCCTGGTGGCTTGTGGCAAACTTTAAACGAGACTTTTTATGGATATCTTTGAGAAATGGCTTTCTTCTTGCCACTCTTCCATAAAGGCCAGATTTGTGCAGTGCACGACTGATTGTTGTCCTATGGACAGACTCTTCCACCTCAGCTGTAGTTATCTGCAGTTCATCCAGAGTGATCATGGGCCTCTTGGCTGCATCTCTGATCAGTCTTCTCCTTGTTTGAGATGAAAGTTTGGAGGGACGGCCGGGTCTTGGTAGATTTGCAGTGGTCTGATATTCCTTCCATTTCAATATAATTGCTTGCACAGTGCTCCTTGAGATGTTTAAAGCTTGGGAAATCTTTTTGTATCCAAATCCGGCTTTAAACTTCTCCACAACAGTATCTCGGACCTGCCTGGTGTGTTCCTTTGTCTTCATGGTTCTCTCTGCGCTTTAAACAGAACCCTGAGACTATCAAAGAGCAGGTGCATTTATACGGAGACTTGATTACACACAGGTACATTCTATTTATCATCATCAGTCATTTAGGACAACATTAAATCATTCAAAGATCCTCACTGAACTTCTGGAGTGAGTTTGCTGCACTGAAAGTAAAGGGGCCAAATAATATTGCACGCCCCACTTTTCAGTTTTTTATTTGTTAAAAAAGTTTAAATTATCCAATAAATTTCGTTCCACTTTACGATTGTGTCCCAATTGTTGATTCATTACAAAAAATATTTTTTTTATATCTTTATGTTTGAAGCCTGAAATGTGGCGAAATATTGAAAGGTTCAGGGGGCCGAATACTTTCGCAAGGCACTGTATCATTTATTTAAAGTGTGCAGTTTTCCCAGTGGTTTTCACATGTAGCTTGTTGTTGCTTAATGCTATAAATCTCTCCATGGCGTGAACTTCCTCCACAAATGTCCTTACACCAGTTTTTATGACAAAAATTTGATGTTTTCCCACAACTATAAATGCTCAGTCATTAAACGTTTCTGCAGGTCACATTCATTCATTCTATGCTGTGATTCAAGACTTCCCAAATTCATTCTGGAAAAGTTCATTAATGTCTTATTTAAATAATTATAACATATTCCTGGGGTCAAAGATCAGAACAACAGAAACAGTACAAAGCCAATTGAGTCCCTGAAGGTCTAAAAATCACCATTAAATAAAATTGATATTAAAAGCACAATAAGTAGCGTAAAACAGTTTTGTTCTATCACTCATTTTCTCATGCATGTATTTTGGCCTCTGGAGAAAGCGAGGACCTGGTTCATATGCAGCATGTTTCTATGTCCTCAAACTCTTCCCAGCTGTTAACAGAGTGTAGTTGTTCCTCTTGTGCGGTCGCCGGCTGCTGCTTGGACCCCCCCCCCCCATCTTCTCTCCTCTCCATCAGCGCAGAGATGACACCTGCCCTGCCACAGAGCCCTCCCCTGTTGATTATTCACATTATAAAGATTGCTTACTGACTAAAGATGAAAAATTCTGTCTGAGTTTGCCTCATAAAAAAGTACATTAGAAAAGGGGCGACAGTGGCTCAGTTGGTAGAGCATTGGCCTTTGAGTCTGAATGTCATGGGTTAGAGCCCCCACTTTCTCCACCGACTCCCACCGACTCCCTTTGTGTCCTTGGCAAGACACTTCTGGTGTTCCTCTGGGAAGACACATTGCCTAAAATGAGTCTGGTGTGTGAGTGAATGGTTGGTGGTGGTCAGAGGGGCCGAAGGCATGGACTAGTTGCCTTGCCTCTGTCAGTGTGCCCCAGGGCAGCTGTGGCTACAGTAGTAATTTATCACCACAGTGCATGGAGAGTGAAGTGTTTTTGAGTGTCCATAAAAGCGCTGTGTAAAAGCAATGCATTAAAACATGTCTAATACATTTTGCTTATGTTTTTAGGCAAAATATATTTAACCGTAACCAAGTACAGCCCTCCAAAACATGGCGAAATCCTAAAAAGAAAGCCCCCTAGAGAAAATAAATGCCCACCCCTCCTGCTCAAAGGGTCAAATAGTGACTCAAAGGGAGAGGAAGACAGCATTTTGATGTGTTACTTTACCCTTTCTATTGGGAAAAACCAAATTTACAAATTATTAAACAAAAAAGTTATATACCACAGCTTTAACAGTCGTAAGTTACTATATGTGCACAAACACATTACATTCTGCTTTAATCAATCTGTGCATGTGTGGAAAACAGTTTTTAAAATGTGACGTATTTGAAGCGGCAGGACAAACTCAGTGCACCCGTTATCTCATAAATAATTTTCGAATACTATTTTGTTACAGACGATTGAGCGGTTGAAAAGCCTTCCTTCTCGCTCTAACAGTAATTACCAACACTTGCTTCTTGCTGTTCCTCGGGCTTTACACAAATTAATGAGAGAGTTTTGCTCTGGTGGTCAGGTACAAGCCCGCAGCCTCCCCCTATAGAGCCATTCTGTTCTCCACACTCACTACATGCTTGGCTGGTCCCCTCCACAGGACAATGCTGAGTGGGCTACAGCCTGAGTGCAAGTCTGACTGGAAATAGGAATCCATATCAGAGCCTTTGAATATTCTTGTATAGCTTTAGTCAATAATCAAGGAATAACAGTGCTTTTTAATTGGCAAACCATAAAGGCTGCATCTGAATTCATAAGAAATAGCTCCTCCTTTATCCTTACTCGCCTTTCCTTCTCATTTCTATTGACACATGGCATCAAAAACGTCTTAAAACACCTTGAGTTGCACTTGTTCAAACATGAGGCTCCCTTGTGTCATAAAAAGGTAAATTATACAGCACAGAGAAGGATTAGGAAGGATAAGGAAGGAGGAAGTTTTACTGAATTATGTCTGCTGTGGTTGTACACTCTGCCACTAGAGAGCAGCATAACATCGACTGTTTTGTTTCGTGTGTGTGTGTGTGCATGTGTGTATGTCTGTGACACACATCTGTATTTTGTTGACGTTTCTCAATGAAAATAAAGACACAGCGCACGTGCCTCTTGTTGTCAGGTGCGCGTTGCTAAGGGCATCGGTTGCTAGGGGCATCTTTTAAAACAGTGCATCTTTTGAATCAGTGCATCTGCGCAAAACTTTGGCTGCGACACAAAAACATTTGGTGAAACTTCACTCGACGATTTCTTCAACCAGGAGACATCACTGCTGACCAGAGACTCTCAGACCGCTCCTGACCACCTGCTGACCACCTGCTGACCACCTGCTGACTCCTGCTGACCACCTGCTGATCCCTTCTGTCCGGACTGTGAGACTGTAGACCACAAACGTGAGCTTTCCACTTTCCCTGTTCAGTCCTATGCTGTGGCCCGTGTTACTCAGACACAGTGACTTGGATTAAAGCAGGTTTATGTGAGTTTAGACACATGTATAAGTGTCTGTGCTGTCAGCTCCTGCACGTCCATGATACAGGATCAATTATACAATCATTAACAACTCATTACTACAACTGACACTCATTTAACGTTTCTGAACCTAACTTCAAAACCACAAGAAATGGACCCATGTCATACAATCCATGTCACTTGGTCTTAAACAGTTTGCATCTATCACTAGTTTTCACATCATGTATTTTTGGCCTTTGTCACAACTAGATCAGCTTTTTCAGACAGAAACCTGAAAAAGACAGAAACCTCCCAGCCCAGAGAGTCAAATAGTGGCTCACAGGGCTGTTGAGAAAAACAACATGTTGTTCATGGGGTAAAAAGGGAGGTCCCCCAGCTTTAATTACAAAGATGACTTGAAGAAATGCAACTGGATATAACTTTAAAATCTATATAAATTTGTAGGAACCATTTTCCAATGACCACTTAGGGATAAAACATGAACACATCTGTGGAAACAAAGGCCGGAGACACTGTCAGACAACAAAGTGCATGTACAAAGAAAACATGGAGAAGGAGGCACTCTGAGAGCTGTGCTGACGCGTTTTGACATTTGTCAGGGCATCAATGTGTTGCCTTAAAGCTGGGGTACCTAACTTTCAATCCACAACAAATATGAGACAATGAAACAAAATAATGTCCTCAAAGGGC